AAATAAACAAACAAACAAAAAAGCTTGGAACTATTAATAAATTCAAGAACTAAAAAGAAGAATTTAAAATTTGGCATTTCTTAAATATTAGAAATAAGCTAAAATAAACTTTCAAAACTTGTAAGTACTAACAAACTCTAAGTCAAGAATTACTGCTATTTTGTCAAGTTAAAAGCTTTTATTCAGTTGAAAAAGCATATTAAGCAAAACTTAATTACAAACAAAATTATATGTTCAGTAGTCGGGGTCATTGTGCCGAAGCATACGATAGCAAGTGACTAATTTTGCGCATTTTTCATTGCCCAGTCGATTTCTGAGTTTAGTATGGATGAGTCCAAAATTTGAGAAGATTTTGTCAATGGAAACCTGTCATTGAGGATAATGATAACAAAAGGTTATTGCAATGTTGCAAGGAAACTCTAAAAGGATTTCCCAGGCTTTCTCATGTCTCATTTCTGTGTAAAATATTAAAAACAAAAATGATAAGAAAAGTTTATTTTATGAGGCTTTCTTTTTATGTGTACATGCATTTCTCTAAGCAAGATTTTATGAATGAAAGTAATCAATCTTGACATTCTTCAGTAATGTAATATGCCAAACAAAGTGATGCTTGGAAATGTTGAAAATTTTATTTAGTATCCTAATATTTTACTTCAAATAGTATGTTTTGATATGAACATGTTGGGAAAATGCAAGAATCTGTTCTTAAATATCTTTTAACAACTTTTTTTCTAATTTTATTGCCCAGAAATTAATTAATTTTAAATTATAAACAGTTAAACTCAAATAAAAATAAAGCTTTACCAAAACTATGGGTTTTTGACGTTTTTGGCATGACGGTAAAAACCGTCATGTGTCAAAAACTTGCCAACCCTGTTACAAGTAAATTTAAACCTACTAATTTCTCCGTAATCTGTCTCTGTAAAAATTTTGAATATTTAGATTTTAAAATTGATATTGTTGATAAACAAATTTAAATTGTTGTTTATGATAAACGAAAGGCTTTTAAATTTAAAGTTTTTTTTTTCTGTAATTTTGATGCTACTTTGTGCAGTAAAATTTTCAAAAATTAAGTTTTTTCTCAATTGTCTAGAATTTATAAAATTTGTAATAATGTGTAAAGTTTACAAGAGGCAACAAATAATTTTTTGGAAAATAATGGTTTTCCTTTTAATTTTTGTAATATTGGTTTTAAAATTAAGAAAATGATTGAGAATTATTAGTTTCGTTTTTTCTTTTAATAGGGCATGATCAAGTCTTGACCGAGTTACCCCGGTTAAGCATTTCTATTAATGATGTCTCTACTTTCTTGCTCTTTTTTCTTCCTTCCACAAATCAAATTAGGGGGCCTTGTTTTTTCGTTTATTTCAATTAGTTGTTGCTTGGTAGTCAGTAGTGTAATTTGGTTTTGGGATTTGTTATCAAGTAAGTTTTTGAGCGTTTTATTATTTTGTATTATTCTTGATTTTATACTTTTGTATTTGCTTAATGTATTTTGTATTATATTTTCCCTTCCTGGACTTTGGCAAAACCTTTGGGGTGCAGAGAGAGCAATTTTGACATTTGTCGTGCTCAGTCGATAGATAAGGTTTTGCATTTATGACTTCGAGAGCCGATACCTCCTGAAGACATCAGCTTCGGTTGTCGTATTTTTTTATAATTTTCATTTTTCATTGTTTCTTTTGTTTAAATTCCTTTTGGAATTTCAGCTGCATAGTGTGTTTTTCCACTGGAAGTATAGTTTTTAATCGCTTTAATTATTTTGAATTCTTTTCTAATTTCGTCTTTTTCTGAATTTGCAAATCAGTTTCATACTTTGATTAGTCATTCTCTATAGTATTACATATAATGTATATATAAAGCTAGCCTTTAAAAACATTTGAATCAATCTTTCACTTAGTTTTTTCTGAAAGTGGATGGGGAAAAAAATTTGCTGCTGCAGTCTATTCCTAATAATAAAGTTAAAATAGCATTATATGTTCTTTAATTATCCCATAATTAGTAATTACCTCGAATAACTCTTTACAGTTAAAAAACGTAATATATTTTTAGAAAATAAATTAACTTCATAAATTTAAATGACAGAATTAAAGAGTCACATAAGACTAATCCAATTCATTTATTCAGTGTATTTTTACACTCTGGGGAACTTTTTTAAATTTAAAGGAATCAGTTTTACTGTTTTATCAGAAAATGTTGTGCAAATGATGCATACATCTGAAAACATTCTAGATTGCTGTGAGTGTCGGAATGATAAGAATTATGCTTCTTAAACTTTTTGCTGGATAAAAAACTCGTTTAAATACCAAAAGACTAACTTAATGCATAGAAACAATACTTAAACCGTAAAAATTGGACAAAAAAAGTATAGGTATTTCATTTAAAATAATGTTTTGTTTGTACACATGGTGAGAGTTGTTGGTGTGGTTATGATTTTATAGGTTTAAAATTGAATAAATATTTATTTCCAATAGTACTTCGAACTTATGAGATAATATAAAGACATTTTCAAAATCTGTGTTGAACAAATACCTTTTACATTTTTCTATAGAAATCTGAAATATCCTTCATTAAAATCTTTTATTTGCAAAAAATTACCCATATAATATACAGCTTTGAACTTAAAACGAACAAAAAGGCCTTCTGAAGACTGATTATATAAACCATTAATGTAATGGACTATTTATTTATAAATTTATTTTATAGGTTTCATCTGAGGAAGCATCTTGGGATTGCTCTAGTTGCCTCTCCGAAAATAACGGTGATAAAGATAAGTGTGCATCCTGCAGTGCCGCTCAAATAGATAAAATCAACAAGAATAATATTGTAAGATTTGATTTTATATTCTGTTGGTTTATGTTACAAAAAATTTATTTTGGTTGAATAAACATGAAAATGATTAAAGTTATGAAAAAGAAATTTCTTTTCTCATCTAGGATTTATCTTTGAAAAAAACACTTTGGGTGTGTTCTAGTTGCCCTGCCTTAAATGTTGGAGATGAAGCAAAGTGCACAATTTGCGATGGTGTCCAAGAAAGTAAAAGTACGCTAGGTAGAAGCTCTTAAATTTGTTTATTAATGTTCACACTTTGGATTTTTTATTTATTTATCTCATTTTTAAAGCTTATGTCATTTTATAGAAAATCTGTATTTTTAGATAAGTTAAGTGAACATCAGTTCTTATCAAACCATATCATTTCTGTATAATAGTTTCATCCCATATTATAAGAATTTATTGAACTATTCTTGCAGTGGCTTATTACATCTGGGGAACAGAAAATTCTCAGAGAGCATGCTGGAAACAGTTTTCCAGCACGCTCTCCAGAATTTTTTTTTGGCTTAAAATACCCCCCAATTTTTACTTTTTTAAGTTACAATGACTTTTAAGTAACTTTTTCAAAATATTTTTTTCTTTTAGAAATTAAAGTTTTTATATTGTTAAAATTTTTTGTTTTGGTTTTTGCTCTAACTAAGAAAAAAAATCATTTAATATTACAGATTTTTTTAATGAACTAGCACACCTGTTAAAAATAATATATAAAGTAAAAACATATTGCGATAGTAAAATTTGTGAAACTAAATTTATGGTCCCACTCATAAGCATAAGGAATTCATGAACTATTAATGTTTGAACAAATTGACCTATAAAGCTTATTTTTGTGTAATATTTTGCATACCAGAAATTATATTTTTATGCTTAGATAGTAAGTTGATCATAAGGAATTTTAAAAAAAAAGTTAAAATAAGCTTGAAAGATGTATATTTTTAATATTTAACTGATTTATTTCTTTTCCTTTTTCCTTATGTTGTTAAAACAAATAGCACTTTTTTTATGAGATCAAGATTTAACTGAGAACAAGAATTTTTTAATTCAGAACAAGATTTTAAATCAAGATTTAACAATAATCAGGAAGTCATTGTCTATGTATATATAACCCTTGAACCTTATCCTGTGATTAGACATATTTTGCAATTCTGACTCAAACTAAACAAAGTAAAGCAATCTTCTAAAATATTAATATTTTATTTTAAATTCTTAAATTTAACTGAAATCAATATAAATCTTCTATATGTTTTGATACTAGTGTCAGGAAAGAATGTCTAAATATTATTTTAAAATTTTGTTGATTTCTTTTTGTAATTTGTTTAAATATACATTGTTTGTATATATGGTACCCTACTTTGTTAAATGTGAAATCTTAACAGTCTCAAAATTCAGGCATGAGATTCACCGGCCTTTTTTCAGAATTTTCTATGCTTCAATAGATCAAGATTTGTTAATCTAACTTTTGAGAAGATGTTCCATCATGTCTTCTTCTTTAGTGGCGCGGCAACCCTGGGTGGGCGTGGGCACTGGCCTCTTATAGGTATTTCCTCCAACTGCCCCTCTGGTTGGCAACTGTGTCTTTTGGTTTTCTAAGTGTTGATGTCCAGCTCCATCACTACATAGTTTAAAAAATGTAAAAATAAATCAAACTTTTTCTTTTTCATCTTGGTGTAAATAATTTTCCAAATTGTTGATTAGTAAATTGTTGTTTATATATAAAAGTGGGAAATTGCTGTGGTAAGAGTTTTATATTTCTCCTTTAACTTTATTTTGTTTACATCTACTTAATTATTATTTTTTGGACTATCAATGCACATTTAGTAAAATAAAAATCATAATAATAATGAAATAAAAAAATACTTTAAATTAGTATTAAGGCAGTTTAAATGTTTTCCTTTTGTGAAAAATAGTTTCACAGACTTTTTTATTATTTTTCTTTCATGATGTACAAAATTGTGATGATTTCCCCATATTTTATTTAAGTTATAATAATCTATTTAAGGGTTTGCTATTATTATGATAGCAATCTTTATAGTTAAATAAAATTACCTGTAGTGTTATTGAGATAAAACAAATAAATTTGGCACAGGTAAAATAATATATTTTATGATCAAATTATATATTTTTCTTCACATTTAAAAAAAAAAAAACATTTATACAAGTACAAGTAAAGCGCATCATTGATTCCCAATTGTTTATTTGAAATTATTCTATGCAGAAATTATAAAAACAGAAGAATTTTATAATATATTGCTCTGACCATATGAAATTAAGCAAAAAATTATGTTTTATCTTTTTTTGTTAACTATGGAAAACAAAAAATACACGTGTATGTAAAACTAGATTATCTATTTTTTTTGAAAAAATCTTACTAAGATATATGTATAGAAATCCTGTTATCTAGTTTAATAGATATCAAGCCTTAATTAGATAGCTAAATATTTGTCTGTTATTTAGTTTAACAGATATCAAGCCTAAATTAGATAGCTAAATATTTGTATTAAGGAAATCCTATTATTTATTCATACATGGCTATGCAATACTATTATACCCTCTTACCTATGTATTAACCGCTGACACTGACTCAGCATGAAACACCCAGTTCCAATACCCCAGTTTGGAAATATTGACTACGAATTAAAAAATGATTTCATCATTATTTTTTTCCTGTTAGTTTCTTCACTGTGCGTTATTGGAATTAATGTTAACTTGCACTCCATTGATAGATTTAAAGCCTTATTAATAGTGTTTACAATAAACAATTTTTGTATGGAAGAAATATGTTTTATTGAGTGATTAAATTTGTGTCACTCTTTTTTTTTGGACAATTGAAAAATATGTTAAGTTTGGTTTTTCAAACTAACTTGTATTGATTCGCAAAAAGATTTGAGTTTTATTATTATGTATTTATAATAATAAAACATAAAATTAACCTTCAAAGCCCTCACACAAACATAGAAACATAACTGCCAACTCTACTGAATTTTGCCAGCTTCTCCTGGTTTTGTAAAAATCCCTATTAAAAATATTTTTGCGCATATTATTGCTTGCTTTAATATTTAAATAAGTGTTACTAAAACATAATGAAGCGAGCTTCATTTGTGAAAACCAGTTAACTGTCTTAGATGAGTTAAATGCCTATTCCTATTCAAAATTACGAGTAAACATAATGCATAGCTATTTAAGTTCATTTAATGTTAACCATACTGGAAAATATTGCAGTTTTTCTATTTTGATGACTAAGAAAATCCCAAAAATTCCTTATGTGCAAAATATTTAGTACAATATGCAACAAATATCATGAAATTTATATTGTTTTGTAAAATCTACTGGATTTTTTCCTATCTGTGTTCACAGCTATGTAGAAATACTTTTATTCCACACTACTATTTAATGCTTTTATTTTACACAATCAAGGAGATTTTGTGAACATCATTCTTATTTTCAATTTTTTTCCTTCATAACAAAATATCGATACTACTTTCAAATTTTATAGCAAAGCTTCATAAATACATTTCAATTAAAAGACATTTAGGATGTAACTTGTATTTTAACAAATCAATGCAAATTAACATGAGAAAACAAAGCAAAAAATAAACAGCATGAAACCAGTAAAATTTAAAAATAAAATTTTTAATTTTTATATGTATATGTAATAACAGGGCTACATCCCTGTTATCATTGGTTATGTTTAGCTCAAATAATTCAGTCGTGAACCAATTATTCCTTCATTAGTTTTATTTACGAGTTGACTGTTGGCTATAACATTTCACATTCACTCTCCACAAGGGAGGGGGTGGACAAAACTCCAGATGGTTCCGGCACATCTTACATGGATCATATCATACAGCAAGAGTCATGCGAAAACAATCTCTCCCGCATTAAATACTAACTCAAAATGGGGTAAAAAGGCTTAGTCTTGCATATCTTATAACCCTACGCATTGTGGAAAATCATTAACTGCTTCCTAATATGGAAGTGAAAGAGGAAAGATTCTAAAAATAACTCCTTTGAGATATGAATCTAATTATTATTCATTGGTATGTTTTCAGCCTTGAAGTTCCATAATAGAATATCTCTACACCTATTCTTTACCAAAGACATTTTATGAAAAGAGTTTTAATGTTTTTATTAATACAAAAGTATTTATAATTTTTGTATTACATATATATATACAGCAGTGTTTTCATCATAGAAAAAAAATGGGTGAGAATTTCTCACCCTTTCTTAAAAACAGGGTGAGATTTCAGAAAGTTAAGTGAGATTTCTAAAAACTAAAATAATACAAATAGACTTGGAAAAAAAATTTCTTTAATTATAATACATTTTTAACGTCTTCTATTTTTTAAAGCATTGAGTATTTTTGCTGCATCATCATAGAAGATTTTGCCTTTACTACGTATTTGTCCATCTTACATTAGTGCATAAAAAATTTGAACGTCTTACATGACCTTACCTACAGTAAACACGTGGTTGCAGAGAAATGTGTTCTGAAAGGGGTTCCGTGGCTCGAAGGGGTTGTGTACTGTTGTTCGAAAAGGTTCTGAACAATACTAGTAAATAGGGAAACTAGATAACGGGGCAAATGTTGAAATTAATAATAGATCCAGGAAGAAAAGTGAAATGGATTTTATTCTAAATGGCGTAATTCGAAGCTTTTTCCAAAGTGCGAGAAATTTGCGAATTTTGAAATTGATTTATAGAATGCGGAAATTTCTCGCGGTAATCATTTTTTCTGCGAGAAAAGAAAAAAATATGCGAGATTCTCGCGTTCTCGCTCTGTAGTGAAAACCTCCGTTGAGAGGACACTCTCGGGACCAAAAAAATTGTCCGTTTACGAGAGTTTTCCGCTTAGGGAAGGGTATACATTAATAAAGAATACTCAAGCCATAAATTGTTTTTAGAATAATTGCAATAATTTTGAAATAATTAAATAAGAACTATTCACATTGACATTTATTTGAATGTAGCGAAATTATAATATTTATGATACAAAAAGAAAAGATTAGGAGATCTAATACATGCCTCTGTTTTACTATTATCCAATTGAAAAGAAATATGTGATAGAAGTTTGTTTTAAGTGACTGCGACTCACCATATCTTCATGGTACATTTTTAAATCATTTAACATTTTCACACCAATTTCATCATTTCTCGATAAATAAAAATGTCTCCTTTCCTCAATACAAGTTTGAGCATCACTTAAAGTTTTCACTTTTGTTTCTTATTCAGGAAGCAGTTGAGTATCAATGTCTTATTTTCACTCTCGACATCAATATTTGTAACCATTTCAACAATTTCATCCATATTTAAATCATTCTTTTGACATTCAATATTTTCATCTATGTTTAGAAAATCATTACCGTTGACAACACTTTCTCCAGTCAAGCGAATCAAATATGTTAATTCAGAAAAGGTATCATCAGAAATTGTGTCATCGATGAGATCGGTAAGGACATTGCACTCTGATGTATCTTTTTTGAAGCCTGCCAGTTTAAAATGGTTGAGCTTTTTACTTTTTTCCAGGCTGCTATTATCCACAAAGAAGCTTGTATAACATCAATTTTTACGTTTTCTTTATTTGGCCCATCTAAGCTCATAATCAAGTGTTTTAAAATTAGTTGCCGATAAAACACTTTGAAGTTTTTAATAACACCTTGATCAAGTGGCTGGCAAACAGACATTACATTTGGAGGAAAGAATGCAATTTTCACATTCTTTAGATTAATGTTAGGGTGAGACGCAGCATTATCAAGAAAAAGAAGAACTTTCCTGTTTTTGCAGCCCATTTTTCTATCAAGTTCAATCAACCACTCAGTCATTAAATCCTGGATCATCCATGCTCGTCGATTTGCTTTCCATTGTATTCCAAGCCTATTGTATCCCAAGCCTGTAAATTATGTCATTATATTGTGTAAGAATATAAATTATATTTAAAAATATGCTTAAATATTATATCTGTGCAACTACAATTTTTCTGATTATCAAAATGTCGTTGATATAAATGTTAGTTATGTTATCAGTGGCAGTCATTTTTATAAATATTTTCGTCTTATTATTTCTGTCATGCAGAGAAATAAATATTAATATGTTTTTGTAAAATTTAGATATGTTCTTTTATAGGAAGTGCTTCAACTGCCCAGCCTTCAATTACTACCTTTGAAAATAATTTGTCATCAACTCCAGCTATGCCATTTCAGTTTGGAAGCCAGCCTACTATTGCAACTAGTACACCCACTATTGGATTTGGTGGAGCTGCTAGTAGTGCTTTTGCATTTGGAAATAAACCAGAAACTGTTAACTCTCTTCAACCAGCAGCTAGTTCTACTCAAATGCCTGTGCCTGCATTTGGTAGTGCACCTACTCAGCTGATGTTTGGAAATTCAACAACTCCCGCTTTTGGAAAACAAACTCCAGGGGGTTTCAATTTTGGTCTCCCAACTTCTTCCAACTCAACTCCTGTCTTCCAGTTTGGAGTGGTAATATGCTTTTAGTTGTCATACATTTTCTTAAATTAGAATTAAATATATGAGAAATATAAAAGTGAGGGAAAAAACGAGGGGAGAGTTTTTTTGTTGTTGTTGAAAAGTATTTTTAAAAAAATATGTACGTGATATAAAAGCCTTTTTTTACTGGCAGAATGGCTTCAGAATCAGAGAATTTTATCACTTTGGAAAAAGTTCGGAAATGTCAGGGAATTTAATTATCCAAAATTAATTTTCCAAAAAATTCGGGGGAAATAAATTAATTTGAGTTTAAAAGTTTAATTAGTTGCTTAAATTGAGTTAACTTCGAAAAAAAGAGGTCCTGCTGTAATTTTTTAATTTTCTAACTCTTCTAGCAAATATAAGTGCTTTGTTGTATCTTTTGCGACTAAAAATTACATATAAGTGAAATGTTAATAAAAATATATATCTGACCAGATAGAGAAATCCTAGAAGTTTGATTTAGACAATCTGGAAAAGTCATATTTCCCAGTTCAGGGTTTGTGGATACCTGGATTGAATATTTAACCTCAATACCCAATTTTGTAAAATTTATCTCTAAAAAATATCAATAGAAAAACCAGTAATCAAATTTCACAATAGGTTTTTTTCTTGTACACTATTTCGAGTAATGTAACTTTGAAGTTGTGGTAATCTGAACTTCTTTCTATCGGAACTCATCTGAAACTAAACTGCAATAGTAAATTCTTGGTGATAATAATTGCTGCTTTTTTTTCTAAATTTGCATACCTATAAATTAATGTTTTTATATGCTTACTAAATTTTCTTTTTTCAGGAAAAGAAGCAAGCCACGCCACAATCAGGATTCTCTTTGGGTACCCCTTCTCAGGACACCATGAATCAGAATTTCCAACCTCAATTTAATATTAGTACTCCGCCTTCTTTCAATTTTGGGGCTACTTCTTCAGCTGGACCATTTCAGTTTGTGTAAGTATACTTCTGTAAAAGTATAAAGTGTACTGCTTCTTCCTTCAAATAACACGTATTTCTTATGTATTAAATCATTTTTATTTATTTATTTGTGCGTGATTTTTTTTCCTTCATATCTTATTATTTAATGAATATGAGTGCAATTTGTCAAAAAGCTCTTTTTAATTATTTTTCCACAAATACTTAGTTTATAAATTAATATTTCATTCATTTACATGTATATTTTTAAATTAGTTTCTATAGTATTTCTACTTTCTTTTTATTTATTTTTTTCAAATTAATGCTAAAGCTTTAAAATAAAGTATCATCAAATGGCAGACTGGGTTGAAAATAAATGCAAAAAAATTTATTTTATAATTATTCTTTAATTAGAAATTACTTATATTTAAACACAACAGTTTTGATAGGCTTCAAAACATTTATGTATTAAATTTATTATACTAGTTCACTAAATTTATGAATAAAAATAAAATTAAACATTTACTTTTAATTAACTTTTTAATTTCTCTAAATGGTTGTGTGACTTTCTATCCTAGTAGATTTTTGTCTACTTTAGCTATTTTTCTGTCAAAGGAAAGTATTCCCGCCAGTAGATTGTAAAAAATCTATAAAAATGAAAAACGTGTAGTTTTAAATTACTTTCTTAGAACTATGAATCACATTGTTTTGTTGCTTTAAAGTTTTGAGGAAAAATTCATAGAAGTTCTTATGATTATCAAGTTCTATTTCTCCTAATCTAATAAGGGGACAGTTTTGTTTTCTACCTTTTTTTTAAGGTATTGTGCTGTTTAATAATTCTATTTCATCAAAAGTTTGGTAAGTACAAAAAATATCAAGAAAACTTAAAGTAACAATGTTGCAAATCCAAAATGGCAAAGGTAGAAGTCTTTTTAAGGGATAAAAACAAAGAAGCATTGATGAGCATAAATCATTCATTGAAATTTGTGAGTGGAATGAAACAGAGCACAGCCTCCTAGTATTTATATGTAAGTAACTTTTCCAAAACAAAGGTTAAGTTACTTTCATTTACATATTGAAGGGCTCTAATACTTCTTTCTTAAAGTTTACATTAAATCTTTTTGATCGAAATAAAATGATGTTTATCATTTTCTTCACTTATATTTAAATATTTTTATTTTGTTCTATTAAGTTTTAATAAAAATTATTTAATTTATATTTCAGACCAAGTAGTGACAGTTCTCAAGCAGCATCAGCGGGGCCACGTAAAATTCGAAAAGCTTGTAGACGAATGAAATAGCAAGTTACAAACAATGCTTCACGCTTTTCATAGAAGAATTTATGTAAAATCAAACAAACCACGAGGTGCCTGAAAACCGTACAGTATGGAATTTTATTTTTAACGTGTGACATAATGCAAAGAAATACACACAGAGATGTACTGGAATTTTTTAACATTCAAACAGAAGACATAAATGAATTATACTTGTTACAAATTCCACCTCTTTGACGGTACACATACACACACTGCGCTCCATATCAGTCGCGTGTGTACGATTGTAAAAGAAATTTTAGATTTCTTCACGCAAAGAATATGTTAATTGTAAATAAACTGCATTGCTTTTATTATTTTGCTTTTTTTAGAAGTGATGATGAGCTCTCAGGATGGTTTTTTTTTTTTTTAATTAATTTTTCTGAAAATTCCAAGATTGTAAATTGCAAACATGAAGTTTCTGTACCTTATGTTTGATTCTATAATTTATTATCTTTTTTAATTGAAAAATAGTTTCAAATTTATACTTCTCATTTTTAAATAACTGAGGAATTACCTTGATTGAAACAATGACGAGGTCTTAGTTGCTCCTATTTGACATAAATTCCCCAAAATATCAATTTCTGTATGTTATATAAATGAAATTGTTTATGAAATGTGTTATTTCACCTTTAGTGCATAATTCAAGTTGGATTGATCGAGAGTTTACTTTATAAAAAATTAAGTATCAACCATAATTATGCATGTTGTATTTATGCAGAATGAAATGTAACAAGAAAACATAATTATGTTTTCATATGTGTTTGATACTATTTTAATCTATTTAGATGTGAGTTACAAAATAATTTTAATTTTTCATCACCTTCTATATTTTTTTTTCTGCATGGATATATATATTAGGAAGTGTTGTGCCATATTATTTTTAAAGTGATTTATTAGGTGAAAATAATCAATGAGTTTTATTATTAAAAAAAAATTGCTTTTGTTTTTCCATTAAAATTTTTTATTTATTCTAATCTTTTATAATCAATTGAATTTCTGTGTAAAAAAGAGAGGCGATATACTTTTAAATGTTTTCCAAGTTACATTTAACTTGCATTTTTAAAAGAAGTATTTTTCATTCCAAATTTAGACTTTGTGTCTTTTTATGCATAATTATCATATTTTACAAGTCACTGCAGTTCATTCAAACCATAATTTCATGTCAGGAATTTTGGTATGTATTGACCCTCTAGTCATGATCATGGCAGTACTGAAATTCATGATCATGAAATGCTTTGATTATGAAACGATCATGTTATGATAAATATGTCATGAAACTTGTTAATATCATTATTAGATTTTTTGCTATGAAAGTTTTGAATGGTACTTCAGTTGTATCTATTGTTGAGAAGGGAAAAAAAAGTTCATTACCATATTGTATATAATTAAAACAGACTGTAAATCTGTTTTATTTCCACTCAAGATGCAGATGTGGTGCCTACTATTATCTGTGAACTTTAAATATTAAAGACAAGGACTTAAAATTGAATACTACATTCTTATATATAAATTGTTATGTAATAAATAAAATCTTTTAAATTATTGGCTCTAAGGCTTGTCATCATTGTAGCTGGATTTTAGAAAGTGGGAAATTTATTTTTGATATGAAATTGGATAGAGTTTTGGCTTCAAGTTAGCTCTTTGTTGTGTATTTCTTCCTTTTCTGTTACTTTTTGTATTTATTTTCATTCTTGCTTAATTAATGATATTTCAACTGTTTTGGAATAAATTTCCGTCTAAAAAAAGTTTGTATAGTAAAATAATTTAAATTAAGAAAAGAATTCAGTTTTTCTTTAAAAATTGCTGATTTTTTTCCAGGTTTTCACCTAAATTTCCTTGATTTTTCCAGGTTCTTTTTTTTTTTTCGGTATAAAAAAAATTCCCTGATAATTCAGTGTTTTCCAGGTGGGTGGCCACCCTGTTCTTCTTTAAAACCATAATAGATAACACGAAAAAATAACACCCAAGTACAAAATTACATTTCTTCACACAACTTAACAGTTTTAACTAGAACTGAGCATGATAAAAATGCTTATTCTATACACATAGGAATGTTCTTTGAATTAAGAACTAATCATTATTTCGGAAAGATTTTCTCCCTGCTCCTTTACTACCAAGGCAGTTCCTGGTTAAGGAGTCTTTTTACCTGCCTTTTTCTCTCTCTACCCTAGCAATTCTTTAAATACACTTTTGATTGCTCTGAGGCATTTTTTTTCCCAATATGTTGGAAAAAAAGCATATGCATTTTGCAACAACAAATATCAAAAAAGAAAAAGTGTAATTGAAGAAACAATGTGAGTGTTTCACAATAGATTTCGAGAAAAGTATTTAGAAAACTATTTTTCCTAATGCTATGAATGAATAGAACTTAAGATAACTGATAACACAATTTTTTTTTTAAAATTAGTATATCTTATTTTACAAAAATGCCAAATATATAAAAATCTCAAATTTTTGTTGCTTATGTTGATCTTTCAATTGTACCTCAGTATAAATTTACTCAATTCAATTTATATTTTGACATTCTCCGCCTTTAACTTAAGTCTGTCAGCATTTTTCAGTATTCTTTAAATGGAAGATCTTTTGAACAGAAAGTGTGCCTTATTTGTGGTTGTCCTTTACAAAACGTACTGCTAAATTTAATTTGTAACAGTGTATAATTGTTGGAATTCATTGTAATTTAAAAAATTGATGTATTTTTTAGAATTGAAATTAATACATACTTTGTAGTTGTTGAATTTGTAAAACTTTATAATTCTTGAATTTTGTAATGATTTAAAAATTGATATTTTTGTAATTATTGTTTTGTCTTCCACAGGATTTGCATTCAGTAGTTTATATTTTAATGTCTAGAAAAGCTATTTATTATTTTGTAATTTGTTTACAATTCACTATAAATTTGCTATAATAAAAAATTATAATTTTAATATATTATTTTATAAATGCTCATTATACCATAACTGTGACTTCAGGAGAATTATATATAATCCAGAAAATAACCTATAAGTTTTGTTAGCAACTTCTAGTTACAACCTCTTAAAAAGTGTAATTATAAAAACAGAAGTTGTAGTTTTCATTAATGTATTGGGCTGCCGGAAAACTGAATTTTCATGATGCCAGTTTACTTTTGGTCTTAATATTGCATGAAAAAAAATTTTAATTAAAATTAATTCTTGTTTTCTAAAAGAATAAATATATAAATGGCATTTACACATTATACCTTTTTGCATTTCTCATTAAAATTTCAGTAACTCTCAGTATGTTCTAGATATTTTCCTAGCGCTGCTTATACAGTACAGGACCCGTTATCCGGAAATCAGAAAACCGGAAAACCAAAAAACCGGAACGAAATTCGATAAATTTTCTCGCCATTTTTTTAAAAAAAGATTTTTTTTCCTCATAAGATTTTAGGATTTTTCTTTCTTTTTGAAAGATTTTTACCTTACCATCATTTTGGAAATAATCATTAGTGTATTACTTAATCGTTTTTTCTTCTTTTTAAGATTATTTTCAAATACTTTTTTTTAAGTTGGGTTTAACAATAAAAAAAACGGTTTTTTGTAGCGATTCAGAAAACCGGAAAAATCAGTTATCCGGAATAGCGATGGTCCCGACCGTTCCGGATAATAGGTTCCCTACTGTACTTTAACAGCATCTTGATTTCTTATAGACGTCGTCTAAATTAAAGTACACAGTCACACTAGTTCTTTAAATTTCATACATGCAAAAAATTATTAAATTTACAAAAAAGATAAATCTCTTTCCTGATTTTACCTTTCAAGATCGATGATAATTCATGAAAATATTCTTTATTTGAAATATTGAGAGTACCTTTAAAAAAAAATTATTATTGAGGGGGATATATACCCTCGTCCCCTCAAAGACCCCCATGCAATTTCTAATNCCCCCCCCCCCCATGCAATTTCTAATACTCAATGCTAGACACAGGATTTTATGAGCCGAGAGAAAATTTATTGCAGGCCTTTCTTCAAAACACATAAAATCTAATTCTCATAGTTTTATCAGCGAATAAATCTCATAAAATCTAATTCTCATCAATTTTATCAAAGAGGCCTTGAAATCAATGCTTTACTTTTGATTCTTGAAACATCAATTTTTGTAAATATATTATCACATTTCTTTTTTTAACATATTTCAGGCCTCGCAGTGCTCCTGTATTTCCCTGGAAAAATTGCTATATTTCCTTTTTTTTTCTTCTTAATTTTCCCTTTTACTCCTTTCTCAACCTCATTTTGGAACAAACATTTCATTAATTACGAATCCAAAATCGTTCTTATTTAAGAGATTCGGTTTTCAAGAACGTAATTTACGAATGTCACACTTAACGATTTTGGATTGTAAGGACTAACGAATCGCGATTCCTACGTATTATGTTATTTGAAAATTATTATTACATTTTCATAAAGCTTTATTTTTTTTTATATATATATTTAAAAAAAATTTAAAACTGAAGCTTGCATTAAAAATTTTGTTATGAAATGTAAATAATTTTTCTTCTAAAAGAATGTGGTTTAACATAATTTTTAAAAATAAGGTATCTGGCTTAATATCTGATATATTTTTAAAAGTACGGTACATAACCACTTATCCGGAAAACCGGCATAAATTTTGCTCGATTTTCCCGCTATTTTGAATATTATCGATATGCGGAAATTCTACTAATTTTTGAAGTTCAATCAAAGAAAAAAGTTCCTCTTTGTTGAGAGAAAACTTCAGTTTATTATAATTTGCCTTAACTTCAATTAAATGAATAACTTATAAATATTTCTTAGTTTGGTTTTTATCATCAAAATGAGATTTTTTGTATTATTATTTTTTTCTTAATTTTGCGGTTTTTCCCTCATAATTTATGATTCATTTTTTAATAGAAAATCTTTACATTTGAGTTTGCTTTTTCTTTTATTTTTAAAAACGTTCGCCGATGATTAAAAACAATTTAGTTTTTTTTTTTTTTTTTTAAACTGTGGAATAGGGTAACTGTGGAAACCAAAATTTTTTCACTAAAAGTGGATGTAAAAGTAAAATATTCAAAAAATAAATGTGTGAAATTTTTTGATCTTGTTTTTTTTATCTTAATTTGTACATGTTTTTATTAATTTAAATGTTATTTTCTTCCGTCTTTTTTAATTAAGGAGAACTTTTCTTATTTTAAAATATGTTAGTATTTTTTATTGTAATTTGGGTCCGATGGAACATCGATAAATAAGGTTTTTTATCAGATCCAGAAAACCGGGAAATTCAGACATCTGAGATAACGATGATCCTGAACATGCCGAATAATTGGTTCTCTACTGTATTTCATTCTTAATAATTTTAAGCAACTCCTAGTTCTGTTAAATTTTTCTGAGTTAAAAGAAAAATTTGAAACTCACACTGGTAAACATAATTAAACTTAAGAATTAAAATGGGTATAAATAAATTTTTGACCCATAATATAAATTTTTAAATAACATTATTACTAATAAACTTTTTTTCTTGACTCTAATGTTGTATGCTTAATTGTTTTTATTCAGACCTTCTAAAAATATTTTAAACCTTTTGCTGGTTTTCAAAAAATTTTAAAAATCTAATTACTTTATTAATTATCTATATAATTATTATTTTATAAATGTATAACACTATATTCTGAGATAAGTCTACTGTTTACTCAACTGTTTATTCCAACCTGTCTTGGACAAGAAAGATAAAATTTGGCTATAATCAGTGTACTTTTTCACCCAGTTAGATTATCTAATAATAGTTTTAAAGCCAAGATAGGATTTTGTAGAAATGTTTTTTCATAACATTAGTTTTGAATAACACATAAATTAAAATTGTACATGTTCTATGCAAATTTCGGACCTATATTTTTTAAACAAAATATTAGGGATTCTTATTTTATTTTCCAAGTACTCCTATAAAATTTCTTAAATGAATTCCTATATTTCCTATTATATTTTTGCTCAGAGTCACTTCTAGGCCTGATACTTTAATCAAATAATAAATTTTTGCTGATTTTTATTTATATGTACTAAGTATGGATTATTGATAAGAATCGATCATTTGATTCTATTGGCCATTGCTAGCAAAGGAGATGAATCAACAATAGTGAATAATTGATAATGTAAAATTGTAAATTGGGTTTTGTTTCCATAAAATGACTAAATTTTGAAAAAGGTTTAAACAATAAACCCTGGGTAAAATTTGGTTTAAGGCTATATGCCAGAATCCTGTTAGCAATAAAATGTCTGGTTCTTTTCTTTTAGAAAATTTCTATTCAAATTAAACTTTAAAGATAAAAAACAATTTTTTTAACTGTCATTTACTTTTTAATTTTTTTTCTTCTGAGACCCTGTTAATTATTATAATAGTCAATATAATGTTAATAATAGTCAGATAGATTGCGATTGTTTCATGATCATCTGAAAATAAAATTTGATCCTCAAAATAAGAAGAATTGAAAGTTATTACGAAATACATAATCTTGTAAAAAAGTTTTTTTAAAACAAAAGCAAAACCTTTGAAAAAGAAAAAAAAAAGGAGCAATATACGTGTTTCAAGAGGGAAAAGGTGTAAAATTAATCTTTTTCTCATTCAATAAAGTCCCGCAGTGGACTGATCGTTAAGACACGGTTCCCAGCAGATCACCGAAGTCAAGCATCACTGGCTGCAGTCAGTGTGCGGGTGGGTGACCACTTGGATCAGTCTGCGTAGGGACCGAGGGTGTGCGGTATTGGTCGTCGTTAAACTGTGCTACCGTAAAGTGCTCGACTTCGCGCGCAGGTCGTCGGGCT